ATATATATTTAGTATAATTTCAGAGCTGAGCAAAGAGTTTCCAGCAATCTGATTGGTCGAGCGGTTCCTTATATGACGCTATATAAACCGCTCCACGCGGTTTATATAAAATGTTAAAATAAAATGTTAATAAATGTTACTAAAATGTTATGGTTTTAGAAATTTCTCTGTTGTTCAGCTCTGAAATTATACTAAAACAATTATTCGCCTCAGGTTCAGTGAATATTGTCGAATAATCCCCTCGACTTCGTCTCGGGGATTATTCGACGATATTCACCTTGCCTTTGGCGAGTAATTGTTAAATATAGCATGATGCCAAAAAAATTGTAATGAAATGAGTCAGTAAATGATATGTGGAGAATGTGTCGAAAAGATTACATAAGGATACCCATTGATACCCGGTATGGTAGACTATGGTACCTGTGCAATCATGGTAAAAATATCCCTAAATGATTTGACTTCTTTTTTTCCATGTGACCTCATAATTTCATACCTGTGCTTGAAATTTTCTCTCGTCTCGCAAGCTGCTAAATAGGGCATCGTAATGGCGTTTTGCTGTTCTACAAAGGACTTCGTTTTTTCCGAGTCTGGATCTTCCAACCAAACGTATGGATCGCATATTTTTGCGCCATGATAATCCTTTACAGCACTTTCATCTCTTTGGACGATAGGGTAAGAGAGTCCGGACGCCATATTGGCTATCAAACGTGGAGGATTGGGCCGGTAAAGCTTGAATTCGAGTATTACGTCATAAAATTAAAAATAACTTTGAAATTTTACTGGTGTAATTATTACGAAGCATAAATTAATAACTTGCAACCCTTGCGTTTTTTTCAAATACAAATGAGTTATACTGAAAAAAAACCGCTATCATGATTTCACCTTCTGTAAATAAACTGAATAGCTACATTTCGCAAATGTCAGCGGAAATATATTTTTTTTCGATTTGCGTTTATCACTGAGATGCAGATTGCTTGCAAAGTGTTGCATTAATAAAAGGGCTCGTCACGTAGCACACTTTTATTCCCAGTTTTCACAACTCTTTCTAGATCTTTTATTCGCAAGTGAGGTTATTTCTTGCCCGGGGAATACCCTAAATTCTTGACGAGTCACGTGAGTAAAATTTTGACGTGCGTGCAACGACTTAATATAAACGACTGTAGACTCCCTTTCTATCCTTTCCACCTGTGCAACGCTGCGGTCACAACCAAGCCTTCGAGCCGCAGAGGAAAACCTTGGACTTAAATCGTTGTCAAAAGCCAGTGTCGCTCAAGCGCACCAAGCGAGGGTAAGTTTTTGCTTTGCATACAATTAATGTTCACTGTAATTCTTGCTTTAGAATTTTACTCGCACTGTCTTAGAAGCTAAGTCATTTAGATTTTGGAACAGTCCTCAGCGATATCTGCAGTCAGAAATCAGTTATTGCTACAGCTAGAAACAAAAGAAGTTCCACTTATAATTAAGCTTAGTTTCTTTGAGTGACTGAATCAGTTTCGAAAGAAAACGATGTGGATTTTCCTAAGATTAGTTATGGTTGCAAGACTCAAGAAACTCTCTGCTGACTCAGCTCGTGTCCCATACCCAGTTTCTCTCGGTCATACGTTTAACGGTATAATTATGAAAAAATAATGAAAAATAATTTGTTTGTTTGTTCATTGAACCGTTTATTGTCTATGGCATGAATGGCAATATTTCTTAGGACTTCTGTGGAATTTATAAATTTCCGAGTTAGTGTCTTCGGTTAATAAAACTTAAAACTTATGTTGACACGACATATCTTGTAGACTTATCTTGCATTTTATAAATTGCGAGTTGATTAGCTTCGCAATTTATAAATTACACGAGACGTTCCGAGTTACGGTTTGTAAAATGCAAAGATCTCGGAAATGGCTCTGCGTGCCGTTTTGAAAAGGGTTACGTTGTACATTCTTGGCTAAGTTCTCCGCAATATTTTAATGCTCCGCGCTAAAACTACGCGGCTGGTCTGTTTTGAAGCATAAAAACCTCCGCCCCGGTTTAACTTACAACGGCATAAAAACAAGGTCAATAAGGGGGGGGCGTCAAGGTCAATTAGGCGAAAGGTAAATACTACACAAATTCCATTAGGTAATTTGTTTATTCTATTCGATCGATTCTATCCGTAAGTCTCAGTATTAAAGTATCACATAACACGAGGTGATGTCACCCAGCTGGTAACTACCAGTTATTGACAGCTTTCAATGATAGCAGTTTCATTAGATGGGAAAATGGTGAACGTCTCCGGTTTGCATCCCGATTTCAACCCTTACCCTCTCGGACATTGCGTGTTTTTTTCGGGCAAGGAAGTCACCCCCCCCCCCCCCAAGTCCAAAGGTGCCCGGACGCCTATGCCCACCAGTGATATTAGCTGCTGCATTTCTTCAACTCTGCTCTGATATTAGTCTTTTTGCGTCCCTTAAGACGTAGGACAAATCATTTTTGGAGTTTGTATTACAGTACCACAGCTGAATCAGTCTCTTCGGAGACTAATAGTGTATGGATGATACTGAGAGTAAGCGATAAGCAATCGCCCTAAACTGGGACATTAAACCCTGCGTTCAGAACGAAACACTTGGGGAATATTTTCAATTATTTTATAGACCGTGGCCATAAACTCTTCCTCAGCACACCACAGACGTATCTGTCATTTAAAGAAAAACATATTCCAGTTAACATTTTTGAGCTCTCCAGTTCAGTTTTCCATGTTGGCTAAATGCAACTTGCATGCTCTTTAGGGTGTTAAAGGCGTTTCTTGTTACTAAACCCGCTTCCAAAATGTCAGATCGCCAAACCCACTCCCATCCCCCCTTCCCCGTCAAAATAAAAATTCCTTAATTTTTACCTACTTCATCTAGCAGCTGCTTGGTAGAAGTTGTAATAACGACACATATAATTAGTCGCAGTATTTTGTGATTTACAAAGATTTTGTCTCACAGTTTTTCCATAGTTACGTGTTGCATCCTTGATCTTCTTTAAGAAGCGTCACGCCGTCACGTATTATAGTTACAAGTCTTGGCCTTTGACCAAACATTTTTGAACCTGAGCTTTTGCGTTGATCTCCGAAAACGAAATCATTAGTTGGACAGTAACTGGACTACACGTCTATCAGGCAAGATATCCGTTACGGGTGTAAAGCAGAGTTTGGTGAAATAATTTTAATCAAAAGCAGAGTTTTCGGCTTTTCCGTAACGGCAATATGCTAATTAGTGTAAATTCTCGCTAAAATATTCAGATTTTGATTGGCGTCTTATAAAGCGCTCACGAAAAAACCCAAACCAATCATTATATTTCTCGGAAGAAGAACACTTGGGCACTCGATAGCCATAAGATGAACCCGATTGGGGAATGGCCACATATCGAAATTTCTGTTTGTAATTAGACGGTAAAACTATGTTTACTCAGGCTATTATAAAATCGCCATTAAAGATTGTGTTTTTCGTTGGGAGAAGTATAACCTACAACCAAAAGAAAGGCATCAATAAACTGCTTAATACTTCTACTTTTGACATAGATTATTAATTTTCGATGTTATGTTTTCCACCAAAGACGCGAGGACATTCTTGCGAATGCTCATTTTGGCAAATTTATACAGCTACTTTTAGCCATGGAGAGCGCGAAATCGATTTTCTCAAATATTTCCGAAATTCCGCGGTACTTTGAAAAATAAGACCCGATACCTTTGAAAACTCGTTAATAGTTACCTAAAAATTGAAAATGAAGGTAGATTTAATTTTTGACCGTGGCCGCGATTTTATCAATATTTTTGTGCATTTCCTCTTAGCGAAGAATGGGGAATCCCCTAAAACTACACTGTACGTCATAGCCGTAGAAAACGTTGTCAAGGCGATCAGTTAGTTGTTTGAAGTTTGATTAAACTGATGATCATCGATTCAAGCTATCCACCTCGCGCACAATATTACCAAGCTGCGACCAAGAATTTCAGTTTATATCCGCATGAAAAGGTAAACCAAATTTATCAGATTCTTATTTTTGCTGTATATGATTCATCTGGGAAGGTTGCTTTGATCATTAATTTGTAAATCCGCTCGGATCGTAAGTCAGCGAAATAATAGTAGTAATAAAAGTAAAATGAAATTTTACAACGGCAACGAAAACGAGTCAAAATTTTAAAGCTTCATTTAAGTTTACAAAAAATTTTAATTTTGCACAAACGACAAGAAGGAGAATGGTCGTAAACTTTGTAAAATTTGCAAGTTCAGTCATCCGTGTGAATCTCTGGTTGCTAGGATATGATGCTTTCTTTGCGCCTAACGGTTACTTCACAAACGTGTAGCTGTTTCTTTAGCTGTTTTTTTGTCTTCATAGGCTCGATTTCTATCGTTTTCTTTGCTATTACACTCGATCCACCGAAAAGGGCCCGTTTCCCGAAAAAGCGGCCGGTTTATCGAGCGTAAAGTCTCGTTAAGGGAAAACTTAGTGGATATCGAAGTAAGCGCGGAAAGATGGCAGATTTTATAGCTAACCTTTGTTTATATCTTGTGGTGTGGATCTAGCTTCCCATAAGAAATGGTAAACAAGAACTGAAAGCTAGGAAGTGAAATCGGGCTTGTGGTAGTCCCTTGCATACGAGAATTTTCTGATAGTTTTGATTATGCCTTTAGCTTGCAACGCACAACACCGATTAATCAACAACGTTACCAGGTGATTACGATAGCTGATGTTAGGTACAGTTGACAAGGAAAAGATGTATGATCTACAGTAAATATAGCGACGAATCTAGCAAATTTATCTGCGTCAACGTAACAAACATGCAATCTGTTTTCATAGTTTAAATAATAAGATTTTTCAGGTTCTAATTTCGTTGTTCAGTTAGTTGCACATGGTAACATCTATCCAATTTAGTGGAACTACAAGTCGTTCATTCGTGCGTTCCCGCTACTAAAGGCGATCCAGACAATGAAAACATAATAACTTTTATATTTTTTATATTTTTTTTATTTATTTTTTATAAGGGGAGCCAAAGGCAGCTCTGCAGTTTAAATGATGTTGTTTGTGCTAATGGATATGCTTGTTGATCATTCGGCGACCCGACTTTATATCGGCTTGGTCGATGGACGAAGTCGATGGATAAAATGTTAAGTTACTGCCTACGGGCTTACTCATTTGAGGGGGAAAAAAAGGTAATTCGCCGAGACTGAAACATCTGCAGTTCAATTTGCAGTGTAGCTTTACACAGTTGAAATCCCATGGATATAACAGCATCAACCGACTTTGGTCGCACACGACTGGGGGAATACCCTTTACGGGTCTAACTATGACTGTTGCATCCGCAAAAACACGTGAACATCACGAGACTATTCAATTGTCCTCCCTGCTTTTAAATTGAGGGATCTATGGTACGATTCTAGTTTTTCAAATTTGAAGTACACAAAGTAACAACTCGTCTAGTTTTTCACATCGGCAAACGGCAAACCGGTTTGAAAGGTAAGCAATTACTGTATTAACTACTTACCGTTTTAATGCGGGGAGTGGATACAATCATTGATGTTTTCAGCAAACTCAGTTAAACGAAGTTTAAAAAAACGCGGTGTGCAAATTTTCTCAACATATTTGTCCACAGTTTCTCCCCGAAATGTATTTTGGCGTATGTGAGGATACTATTTGAGGCAAAAGGTGAAAAATAAGCGAAAGAATTGATAACGCTCTTAATATTT